CCAAACAATATTCTCAATTGTTTGCAACAACATCCAATCCAAACAAATAATGATTTTTGAAAACTCAAATTCGAATTCAAATAATTTTGTTTGAGTTCGAGCTTCTTAGATACAAGAAATTGAGGTGTTGTTTCTAACCTTGTCTCTAATATTTACTTTAGATTTAATATGTGATAGTTATGTAGTGTAATTTGTTTAACGTTCCGGGAAATTAGTTTAATTGCTTGGTGAATGCTTTGCTAAATTTGGCTAGTGAAAACGAGTCTATCAGACGAATAATTGATGCCTTGAGTTTGTGTTCACGATTTACATGCCATCTGTTATTTTTCATGGATTTTGGTATTGCTTTTGCTAAGAGTTTATTTGGTAATATGTCGTATGAACTGTTGGCCGAGGATTTTAAGATTGAGAATGAAATTTGAACTCAAAAGGGGCTAACGTGTTTAGGAAATTAATTTTGATAGAACAGAGAATGAGAGATTGAGAGAGAGAGAGAGAGAGAGAGAGAGAGAGAGAGAGAGAATAATGATGAGAAATAATTAATTCCTTATTCAATTCCTAATATAAAAGGATACTCATTTAATTCCTAAAATGTATATAATTGATAAATTGTATATGCCTATGTAATTAAATTGAAACTTGAGTAGGGAGGGTAATAAAGTTTCAAACTGTATATAGGAAGTTAAAAATCTCATTTAATAAATGTAATAAGTAATGTAAAAAGTAACTTTGACCCACAAAAAAAAAGGCTTGGATTAGGCCTCCAGTGTGAGGATGTCGGCCCATACCCACTTTGCTTTGCGGCCAAAAGCCCAATCCCTTTTTATTTCTCTTTACTAGGTAAAAATAACACGGGCTAGTCAGTTTTCGGACTACAAACAACAACAACAACAACAACAACAACAACAACAACAATCCAGTATAATCTCACTAATGAAGTCTGGGGAGGGCAGTGTGTACGCAAACCTTACCCCTACCCTGGGGTAGAGAGGCTGTTTCCGATAGACCATCGGCTCCCTCCCTCCAAGAACTCCCCACCTTGCTATTGGGGTGACTCGAACTCACAACCTCTTGGTTGGAAGTGGAGGGTGCTTACCACTAGAGCAACCCACTCTTGTCATTGAAAAATAGCCAACGTTTGTAAAATCATTGAAAAATAGCCATTATTGTGCTGCAACACAGAAAGTTCCAGCATAATATACTGGAGATTAGCGCACTTGTGTATCAACTTCCAGCATATTATGTTGGAACTTCAGCACACGAAAAGTTCCAGCATAATATACTTGAGAGTGGAGCACCTGTGTATGAACTTTCAGCATATTAAGCTGGACTAGTATATTATGCTAGAACTCCAGTATATTATGCTGAAAGTTCACATGTAAAATATTCGAACTCCAGTATATTATGCTGGAATATTTTTCAAATTTTGGGATTTATCTTTACATGAAAAGTGGCTAAATTTTGATTACTTTTGAAACTGTAGCTATTTTTCAATTACCACTTGTAAATCTGGCTATTTTTGAATTTCACCCCTTTACTAGCGTAATAAAACAGTAATCTCAATTTTGAGATACTAGACTGTTGGGCAAAGATCACTTTTAGGCTTTAGCCCATTGCTGAAACTATTTATATAGGTAGCAAAAAAGTGTATAAAATTTATATATTTTTTATATATAACATACATAAAATATACATTTTTCGGCAATACTGTGCCATTTTTCCCACTATTTCCACAAAGATAGCTTAGACATATGACATAAAGCAATCATCGATGCGCTTAATCTCAGCAATACACATCATGCTTCAAAAGAATAACCAAGAAACTAGACTACTATTTTTCTCCGGAACCTTGGTATAACTACGATTTCATGTTTTAAATTAGCAAATTGCCGCCTACTCAACCGCTTAAACTAAAAATAGTTGGCGGATATATAATATATGTATAACCTATTTATGATGTGTGTATAACCGTAAATAATCTACCCATAAGAAAGAAACTAAATTGCACCCCCACCCCCCAAAAGCCCACATCAGTGTCTGCTGACACAACAGCCCAAATGTCAAACGATGAGTCTCGTACAAGTAAGACTAGTTATATACTATTAGTTAAGTAAAAATTTTACTACTCTAGAATCTAGAAATATGTTTTTTTCTAACAAGTGGATGTTGAATTTAATCAACCTGAAAAGGATAGGACGAATATGATTTAGTTCTCTGACTGGAATAATCAAAAACGCATAAAATCATAACAAAGAAGATTCAGGAAAAGAAAGGAAATTTTCATTCATTCCGAGGAAGGACATCTGCAGTGAAGAGTTCGCATGCAGTCTCAGGAAATCATAAATACAAGGCTTTACATGAAACATTTGTGAGTTTGCAACACATATACAAGAGTGATACAAATATGTAGAACTTCTAAAAGAAAACATACAAAAGCCTTAAAACAAAGCACTGATCTTCATGTCATCCGCCGAAGTTCAAAACACTTCTTCATTTTCCCCCATAGCCAAAAAAATTCCCAGTAGTACATCCCAATAATACCTACATACTACTCCCAATCGCATTCTCAAAGCTCACTTCACAAAGATCTGATCTTCTGAATATCAATATTTTCAAGAATTGGAACATCGATGATCGGATTAGCTTTGATCTGTTGTGAAACCCATTAAAAAAACCAACGGAAATCATTAGAATAGTAAAATGAAGCCTTTTAACTTAAACATCGACTGTTTGGCCGCTGAGCACATCCTGAAGCTGGAGAGACCCATCCTTCATTAGATTAACACTTAAGCTCTTGAATCTTTCTCTTGAGTACTGCCGAGATGCCTTTCTCCAATCAGTTCCTGTCTTCATCATTGCTACGAACTCCTCGTAACTGATTTGCCCGTCCTGAGAAAAAGTACAAAATTCAACAACGATGTAAAACTGGTTTGATACATCAGAGCCAGGAGACTGTGGAAGGAGAAATAAGAGTGGACAAATTCAGGAGTGCAGCATTTTATCTTTCATGCTACATTCCTAAAGAAATTCCATCTTCTTCTTTTTTTGGAGAATTTTCTGTGACTCTAAATGGTTCAACATTTGACAAGATCGAACGAACTTCTTTAATGTTAAGAAGTCTTTTAGCTTGTTTTTTTAAACATATTGAAAGAGCAAGGGAAAGAGGCAGGGTCACTACATGGAGAAAAAAAGATGAGTCTAACCTTGTCTGTATCAACTTCACGCATGATCTCATTCAGTACATCAGTATCGCATGCACCTGATTCATCAGCTAGAGCTTCTCGTAGCTCATCAAGCTCAATATAACCGCTTCCATCTTTGTCAAAGAACATGAATGCTTTACGAAAATGCTCATCGTTTTCCATCCTCTGTAAGTGGATTATAACTGCTACAAACTCCCCATAGTCCAGGACTCCATTTCCATCAACATCAGCCTAATCAAATATTAGTTTCAGCAACCGTCAGGCAAGATTATTTAGTTAATCTATTTCTGAGGAAAAAAATTTCTGTATCTGCAATAAGATTTGTTCAAAGGTCCATGTTCCAAACAGGAAAAAGCTTGAGAATTTGCATATAAAAGCTGCTTCACATTTACAACAGAAAACTTGGGAATCTTGGATAGCCTAAAATATAGGCTACAAATGTCAACCAGATTGTATTGGGACAAGAATGCAGAAAAGTTTCTAGTGAAGGCTATAGGATCAAATGTCAACACCGTTCATGGTGTTAGAACCCATGCTTATACTTCCTCACACCCAGGTAGTAATGCAATGGAACCCCTTGGCTATTTAATAGCCTTCATAAAATATATATATATATATATATATATGCTTGCTTAAATATAATGAAAGGAGGAGAAATAGAAGGAAAGCTAATCCCTGAAATAAATGCAACAAGCAGAGTCTTCAGAGCCAATATCTTGTGCAAAATAAACCATCTGACAGATGTGAACCTAATCTGCAAGCTATAGTGAGGAAGAGAAGAAATATAGGAAGGATTTATTTCCCCTCTCCTTCAAAACATCGGGTACTTGAAACAAACCAGGTGAAACCAAGCAAGAGAGAACAAGAATAATTGAGATCACAAGAATAGGATGGCAGTGACTGCTTTAACATCACTTGGAAGAGTAACTTCTGTCAAACTCAGAGTTTAAATGGAGAGCAGAGAGAAAGAGAGAGTGTGTGTGTTCTGTGGAACAGCTTATTATTTTCCCACATCCTGAAGGCACAGAGCTTAAAAGACACCAGACGATTTGCAGAACAACTTGGTTAGTTACCATGAAACACTATCAGAATACATTTATCAGAAAGGACAGCAGAATCTGGAGGGGAGGCAAGAAAAACGAGAAGTGATGGAGAAGATGTTAGTTAGATACACAAATAGGCTTTACCTGCTTCAATATATCATTGAGCTGAACTTTAGCAGTTAATTTGTAGTAGTCAAGGAGTGGGATACCAAGTCTAATATCAAACTTTTAGAATCAGATAAACCCCAACATAGAAGAGATGAAATAAACACACATATTATGCATGCTATATACACAAAAAACTGGGAGGATGCACGTAGGGAGTGGTAGAGCGAGATAGTTAAATCTGAAGAAATTCACGTGGAACTACAAGTTACAGCAGCATATACGAAAAACTAGGAAGCATACAGGAAAGTGAGTAAAATAGAAGCAAAATATGTTCTACTAATATTTTGGCATATAAGACTCGTAAATCTCATATACCAACAAGAAGAAAGAACGAAAGACTGTTTCAACGTGTTTAAAAGAATAGTAATGTTTACCACATCCATCAGCAACTTCATCTCTGCTTCTGCTAACTGCGAACCCACTTTTCTAAGTCCAGTCTTTAGTTCATCATATGATATTTTTGCATCACCATCAGAGTCCATTAATGCAAACATCTCTCTGATTACCTCAACCTCTTCAAGTGTCAAGTGCTCAGCAATGACCTACGCAATTCGATAGGTGAAAAAACAATTCAAACTAAAGCACATCCACATAATGCTGCAAGTAACTACACAAGCCGTAAAAGCCTTGGAATTGACAGGACGCCAACACATAATACATCATTTACAAGTTACATAGCAACTCTCTCTCTCTCTCTCTCTCTGATTTAACCAATTCTCAAAAAGTTCCCGTTGGCCTTCAAACCAAATTTCAGATTTGTAGCAATAGTAGATCACGGGTTCGAGCCGTGGAAGCAGCCACTAATGTTTGCATTAGGGTAGGTTGTCTACATCACACCCTTTAGGGTGCGGCCCTTCCCCGAATCCTGCGTGAATGCAATGCTGGATGCTTTGTGCACCGCGCTGTCCTTATATGCTTAAACAAAATTAGAGGCTTACCCGCAGTGCTTTCTTTTTGAATCTGTTCATGATAGAAAATTGCTTCAGTCTTGTCCTAACAATATCTCCCAGTGGAACATTTGAAGCCTTTTTTGCATGTTGTATCCAGGGGTGCTCTGCAATAAAGAAGACTGACTTAAAAGCTGCTTTATGACAGACAACTGATGATGCAGAAAATGGTTAGCAGGTTGAACAATCTTACATTATATAATCTATGTTTTTGTAAGTGCTTATCAACAAGAAAATAAAAAATAAAAGAATAAACTCTCAGTAAGAATCAGCACTTGAATACATTCAACTTGTCCCAATTACAGTAGTTCCCTTCTTCATAATTAGTCCTTCTAATAATTATAAGACATAGTGAAATTGGCTATCCTGCATTCAGTTCTGATCTTTGAGCCATGATCATACAGGTTGACATCTCTAGAAATTCAGCAGAACAAAGGGTGGGGGAGGATTTTATAACTACCAGATGCTGGAGCAACCCTATTCGGGTAAAAGACAAAAAAGTGCAAAGGGAAATAAACAGCTGGGATTTAGTTGATTAACATACAACAACAACAACATACCCGGTCTTATCCCACGCCGTGGATAAAATGTAGTTGATTAACATAAACAGTAAAATATTTTAGACGTGAACCATAAAGCAGTTAGTACAACGTAAAACCCTTGAAACTATTCCTACTAAAACAAATTTGATTCATAGCGTTGTCTATCCCATAGCTCAATCATGCCTCAAAGCCTAGTATACCCAATAAGATAAGAGTACAAACATATGCAATGACCATCCAGAAAAATAAATAACATCGGATTCCATAAATCAGTATGCTGATGGTGGATCCAGGAAATTTAAAGCCGGGATATCCTTTGGGAAAGCCTCATGTTTCCCCTGTGTAGTGGCAAAACACACTAAAGAGTATCAGGAAAGATGCCCACAATAAATCAGTCTACATAGAACGTTGCGACAAAACATAAACAGTTCCTGATGCCTTCGAAGGATAAAGTCCAAATCAGACCCGCAATTTTCTTCTTGAAAAATAATGGTGAACTATCTGCAATCATCTTTTTGCTCAACACATAGCTTTCTGTATACCGAGGGAGCCTGATTTAATAAGAATTTCGCGAACTTTAAGTTGAAAAAACACTTACCAAGGACCTGTTGGGCTGTCAACCGCTTTTTGATGTCTGGTTCCAGCATCTGTCTTACTAGACTTTTTGCACTTTCAGAAACTTGAGGCCATGGTTCCCTCTTAAAATCAATCACTCCCCTCAAAATTGCAAGAGCAACCCCTTGTTCAGTTTCTGCAAAAGACAATCATATTAATAAAGAACTAAACTCGAAAACCACAAGTAATTGCAAATACTAGAATCAACAGGAAACTGGACAAACTATATAATACACATACCAGCCCAAAATGGAGGAACCCCACACAACAAAATATAAAGGATGACACCAGCACTCCAAATATCAACCTCAGGTCCATAATTCCGCTTCAACACCTCTGGTGCCATGTAATATGGACTTCCCACTATCTCAGAGAATCTTTCCCCTAGTTACATCATAAAAATACTAAGAATCAAACACTTCTTTAAGGATCAAACTGCTAGTCAAAAACAGACAAAAGTAAAAAGGAATCAATTTTTACGAGACAGAGGGAAAAAGTGTCTTTTTCATTAGCAAAGCTCAACCATACTAATTCATTTCTGGGTAAGAAATTGAAAAATAATAGAACTCATACCAGGCTTGAAAAAGACGGATAGGCCAAAATCAATGGCCTTAAGAGCAGAATGCTCTTTCTTATTAGCAAACAGAAAATTCTCAGGTTTCAAGTCTCTATGCATAACACCATTAGCATGACACATCCTTACAACCTCAGCTACAGTTCTTGCAACCCCAGCGGCAGCTCTTTCACTATAATGCCCTCTTGCTACAATCCTATCAAATAACTCCCCACCTTCACACAACTCCATAACCAGATGCACTGCTTCATTATCTTCGTACGTAGCTCTTAATTTAACAATATTTGAGTGATCAGGTAAGCTTGACATTATAGCAACTTCTCTTCTTACATCTTCGATGTCTACAGCTGTACGGAGCTTCTTCTTGGATATTGATTTGCATGCGAGAGCTTCTCGGGTTTCACGGTCGGTGCAAAGGTAAGTGACTCCGAATTCGCCCCGACCCAGTTCGCGGCCCAAGATGTATTTGTCGGATATGCGGGTTTTAGGGAAGAAGTCTTTGAGTACTCGGATCGGGGCGGGTGAATTTGAATACGGATTGGGTCTACGTTCTCGGGGCTTCTTTGGTTTTGTTTCAAGATCGGTTTTGGAAGCTTCTTCTGGTCTTATGCAAGCGTTGCAGTTACCCATGGTTGCTCCGCCGCTAGAAGTGGTTGCCGGAGGTGGTTGCTGCGGTGGAGGAAGAGGTCATGGCACGGGGAAGACTGCTATTTTTGAAGATTTTTGTGAGAGAGAGAAAACGCGGGGTCAGTTGGGGAGTAGTAGTTTTTGAATAAAGTCCATTTATTACACCAAATACTGATAATTATACTCCTATTTTAATATTGACCATCTTTTGGACTTTCTTTAAATTAGAAAAAGAAAAAAAAAAGGAGAGAATTTAATTTAAGAAAAAAGAAAATATCGGAGAAATAATCCTGCAATTTTTTTTAAGTTTCTATTATGTTGGGAGATCAAGGGAAGGAAGAAGAAAAAGACAATGAGAATTGGACACACATTTATAATGTGATTTTTTATGGATGGTCATTAGACTATTAACCTTGATGAAATATCATGTGTTAAGATGTATTCTGTTTTTTATTTTATTTTTATTTTTGCACTTCATAAAATTAATAAGAGAAGAGAAAAAGCTAATGTGATATCTTAACTATTTAAGCTTAATTGGGTAGTTCAATTCCTATGTCATGGCCTCATGGGGCTAATACTACTATGATTGTTGGCTAACTTCTTTATGAAAAAAAATGCTACTAATAAATACTTAGACGAAATTATTTAATGGAAAAGTAAGTTGGAAGGTTTTTCCCAACTGAAGAATGAAATAGAAATGATCTATACTTGCTCAACTCCAGAGTTGGTCAACCACAAATAGCAAATTCCCTCTAGAAGTTCATATCCACTACATAATTCAAAAGAAATCAAACATTAATATTTCCTCAATACGAATTAATACATTAGGGGTAACTTTTACCTCATTCCATAACGTGTACAAGAAGATGATGAGAAAATTGCAGTTTCGTTGTACTGTTTTTTTCTCCAAGCAAAGTGAAGATGATGGACTATAATTAACACAACCAGTCAATTATAATTTATTTGCCCTCTCTTTAGCTTTTTATGGATGAGTTTACCAAGTCTCCCTCTCTATCCCTATCTACACCTACCAAATGACTTTCATGATTAATTAAGGGACCATTCATATTTTCTCCGAGACTAGACCTACTGGAAATTATAATACATTTTTTGTCTCAAAAAACAATAATAAAATTAAAATACAATAGTGTTTATCCGAAAAAACGGATAGAGTTGAATTTGTACGTAGTTCTAAGGATATGTGGTATAGCTTAATATAAATCGTAAGGATAAATAGAAATCTTAAATACGGATACCAAATAAACAATGTTAGAAAGAAGATGATTTTTAGGACTAAGCAAGATGAATCTATGTATGAAGCTTAAAGGAATAACTCTTCAATATAGGAATGTATGGTGCTTTAATTATTATGTAACCCAAGGAAAAAATTGTGCTTTACAGAAATGTAGTCATCCTCTTTATAGTGGAGGATCCTACTCTTAGATATAATTAAAAATACATAATGGGAGACCCACTACAAATCAGCTTTTCCATAATTCCTCTCACGATTCTCTCCTCTAGTGGGATTGCAACGACTCTTGTCTGTGAGCTCGATATCGACTCGAGTTTTCGGTCTTGACTCGAGCTCGATTCTGACTCGGATCCCTGTATTGATTCGGTGTCAGTGTTGATCGGTCTTTGAATCATAAGATCGATAACTTTACTTTGCCTCATAGTTCGACTTGGACTCACACTCGTTAATAACATCGAGCTCGAGTTCGAAGCTTAGTGGCCTGACTTCGGACCTCAACCTAAACCTATGAAGATGCTTCTACGATCCGATGTACTACTATTTAAATCATTTGGTACGAAGGACTAACCGATTTTTACCGTACACAAAAAGTCCCCTCATTTCTCGAGAAGGATGTAGCGAGAAACAACATGATTTCACAACGGTTCGATCAGATTATAAGATGACGTTCACATTGGGCTCGATCATGACGCACATAATAGTTGTCCCGACAGTTTAGTTTTTCAAGGCATTTAATGCATGTCAGATGGTGGTCGGCCACCGCTGATATTGAACCGCCATTGCTTTAATCTATAAATAGCCTTTCCTTCCACCATTTATCACTTTTACGTCTTCAATCTTCAAAAAAAAATGAAGTTTCCTTTCGTCTCTTTTCTGCAAAATTCTTCTTCTAAACCACCAAATCTTTGTCACCTTCTTTAAATTCAAAAATGTTGAAGACATCAAAAATCGTCCCCCAAAAAGAAAAAGCTTCTTCCTCCCAATCTGCCGCCGACAAAACACCGGTGGATCCATGGCCTAAGGAGTGCGTTCTGGCGGCGTGTGTTCTTATCTCCGATTTCAAACTCGATAAAGGTTCGCCAGTTCCTGGCCGATGTGAGCCTGTATCGAGATATATTTGTTCGATAACCGGGGGGTATATCGAGCAGATAAAAAAAGATCGTAATTGGGGGAACAAAGATGTGGTAGTGCCGTCTCCCAAAGAGGATATTACTACTCACGTGAAAGGGTTTTTAAGTGTGAAAACACCTTTTCACGTTAGGTCCTCTCGACCCTGTTATCATAGATTTTTGTCGTAAATACTTAATAATCCTAGGACAGATCCATCCTTCTTTTTGGCGAATCGTTATTTTGATCTGATACTTTGTGAACAAAATCGAGGGGATGCCATTCAATCTCGATCATCTCATCTGATTGTACCGTCCTCGCCTTTTTCGATGAGAGTTAATAAAACTTCAACGTCGAGATACCAAAGCTCTGTTCTCGAGCATAGACGAGGAAAAGGATCAAGGCTGGATGGGCAGGTTCGTTCGAGTAAGGACTTCGGACCTGATTCCGGCTGAAAAATGCATTTTCCCGAGGAGTGGAACATGAAGCGTAAGTGTAATTCTGTTGTTATCTCCTACTATTTTATCCTTTCATTTATTTTCTCATCGATATCCCCCTTTTTGTGATGCAGCAGTTCCCTGGATGCCCGGCGCAGTTTTTGATCTCAAGAACTGGGTACGGGATCTGGTTTCGACCTCCACATACGCCGAGCGCTCATGGCATGACTTGTCAAAGGGCCAACGGGAAGCCAAAAATCATGGTAAGCCCCTTTCTCATATTTTTTGGTAGTTCGAACAAGATGATTTCCATATACTTTAATAAAAATTTTCGTATGTAGATGTAGGCAAAGATGCGGTTTTGAGGCCCTCGTCCGTCGAGGGGAGGGCTTCGGCCTTTGTCCCAAATCTGGTGAAAGATAATAAGAGGAAAAGGGCCTTCGTTCCCGAAGATCCAAAAGCGAAGAAGAGGACGACTCGTAAGCCGAACAAGAATACTATTCCTTTGACCGTAGAATTGGTTCTGCGTCTAAGGGATGAAGACGACGAAGAAGACGAAAATGATAGGTCCGCGCTGGCGGCCCAAACGAAGAAGACCACCGACGTTCCACATGCAGCTGGATCGATTGTGGTTTATAAGGCTCCGCCTCGAACTGAGGATATATCGTAGAAAGGTTCGGACAGAGTCCTCGAGTTGTTGGAGATCGAAGATATTTTCCACCGAAGCCAACGGATGGGGGATATGTCAGAAGGGGCTCTTTATGAATCTCTTCGAACCGAAGAGAATGCTCCAAGTGATTCACTTGGGGCAGTAACAATCGAAGACTCACCCACCTTTCCTTCTTTTTTTGCAGGGGCGATTTGGGAAGCCCAAGCTTTGAGGGCCCTCAAACTAGACCGGCCTCATGATGCAGAGGATCCTTTTCGTGACCTGTTTACCAGTGTCGAGGACGTTGCCGGTACTAGTGATGCATCGGATTTTTTTCACGGAGTGCAGCAGGCTTTGAATCATGTAAGCCTTAAATTATTTTGTTGGCATTACCTTTATGTTTGCTTTTCTTTTCAAACTTCGTTTCTTCTTTCTTTGTAGGTCGCGGTAGTTCATTGAGAAGCATGTTCTCGGTCCCGAACCGAGCTGCGTCGATACGGGGCCGACCTTCAACGGGTTACGGAGGAGAGGAACTCCCTTAAACTCCTCTTAGGGCAAAGGTGGGAGGAAATAAAAGACCTCCGAGCTGAGTTGGCCAAGGCCCACCAAGATCAGACCGATCTGTCTGAGCAGGTAATGATATTTTTAAAAGCCTATGGGCTCGATACCGGAACGATGGCTAATTTTTTGGTCTCACAGTTGCAGCAAAAAATTGAGATGATCGGAAAACTCCGTGAGGAGGTCGATGTGATAAAAAGCGGAGTGTTTGAAGTGGAAAAAAGGTATGGACCGCTTTGCTGCAGAGAAAGAAGCTGCTCGAGCCCAATTATCATCGGCCAAAAACCAACTTTAATGTATGAAGGAGAAAGGCTCGGTTCAAGCAAGAAGAATAGAGGAGCTCGAGGATCGGTTGGCCTCTGAATTTTCCAAGGGCGAATCTAACTCCGAAAAGGAAAAGGTCGATGCGGATGCACTCGTGGTCGTCTATCGGGCCGATGCTAAAGCTGCCCAGGTCCAAGCAAGAGAGGTAGCCGAGAACACCGATACTCGAGCACAATGGGTCGCGGAACTTGCTAAGTGTCGATCTCGGAGGGAGACCCTCGAGGAGATTCATGCTCGAGGTTTCGATCTAGCTGAAGAGATAAAAAGGGCTAAAGAACTCGAAGCCGATGTTGAAGACTTGGCTCCTGATGATGAAGATGATGATAATGATGGTGATGATGGGAGTAAGAGTGGGTCCGATAACGAGGGGGATCCCGGTGGAGAAGAGACCGCTCCCGGAGATAACCAAGAAACTTAGCCCTTAGTTTCTATGTTGCAATCAATCATGTAAACAATCTTGAATATATATATGAATATCTTTTTCTTTTACCGACTTGCTCTGCGTTGTTTCCTGCCTTGTGAAGATTTTATTCATGCCTTATGAATGTTTTCATAAGGATTTAGGCAATTTGATCGAATTTGGACTTTGTAGCCTTTATAACCGAGTGAGCGTTTACTCAAACTTGAAATAAGGTAGCCCATAGGCTTAGTAGTTGAGTTGAGTGATTATTTGAACTTGAAGTAATACAGCCCGTAGGCTTATTAGTCGATTGAGTGCTTGCTTGAACTCGAAATAAAAGTAGCCTGTAGGCTTAGTAGTCGAGTAAATGATTCGAACTCGAAGTAGTGTAACCCATAAGCATAATGGTCGAGTGAGTGCTTACTC